TCGTAGTCAACGTCATGAGACAAAGTATATGTGAACTGCTGTATGGAAAGTGAATTTGCTCTGTAAACTTTCACCCAAATCACAATAAAAAAGAATAAATAAATAAATAACGAAAACCCTATGGAGCACAGATATATGCACACCCATGTTTATCTCAGCACTATTTACAATAGCAAAAAGCTGCAAACAACCTAGGTGTCCATCAACAGAAGAATGGATAACCAAACTATGGTACATACACACAGTACTATCCAACACCAAAGAATAACGTAGAATCTGCAAAACACCGCATAACATGGATGAACTTGGAGGGCATTATGCTGAGTGAAATAAGTCAATCACAGAAGGACAAATAGAGTATTAGCTCATTATTGTAAAAAGTCAAGGGAAGTATTATATACGGAAGGAAACTTCTTTGTTGGTTATTGGGGAGGGGGAAAGGGAACACTGCAAAAAAAAAAAAAGTGCATTAACCCATGTCACTTTAGTTTTGTGTATTTCACTGTACGTAAATTATATTTCAATAAAATGTGTTTTTAAAAAAAAATAGTTACTACAAAGCTGCAGTTATCAAAACAGTGTGGTACTGGCAAGACACACAAACCAATGGAATAGAATTCAGAGCCCAGGAATAAACTTTCACATATATGACCAATTGGTTTTGGAAAAGGGTCCCAAAACCATTCAATGAAGAAAGAACAATCTCTTCAGCAAATGGTGCTGGGAAAACTGAACATCCATATGCAAAATAATGAAGTATGACTATACCTTACATCATATACAAAAATTAATTCTGATACCGCCTTGGAAACCCAAGGAGGGGTCGCTATAAGTCGGGTTCGACTTGATGGCACATAACAACAACAACAACATGTTGGATAAAGGTTTAATATCCAGATTATATAAATAACTCTTATAACTCAACAACAGAAAGACAACCTTATTTAAAAACAGGCAAAGGAAAGTCTGAGAGGCTCCTCTCTGCTCTTTACCAGGCTCTCTTTTTTCCCTACAGCTCAGAGGCAGCCTTGGCTGCAGTGGAGCTGTAATTCAGAAGTCCAGTTGTCTGACCCCCAGGCCTCCTTTAGTGATCCTTACTGCCCGTGCCTCAAGTTCAGGAGTGGCTAAGTTTTCAAATAGTTTGTAAGCACCGTTATGTCAGAAGATGCATACTTTCTGTAACTGATCTTAAGTTTGCTAAATAGTAGTTGGTATACAGTTTGTTTGAAATAATGTTTTTATATTTATAATTTTAAAAAAAAACTTTGGTAAGTCAAAAATGTGAATAACTCAAAACCAAGGATGTTCTCAAAAAAAAAAAAAATTCATTGCCGTCAAGTCGGGTCTGACTCATAGTGACTCCTCCTTGAGTTTCCAAGGCAGTATCACTACGGAAGTAAATTGCCCAGTCTTCCTTCCGAGGAGTGGCTGTGGTGGGTTTGAACTGCCAGCCTTCTGGTTAGCAGTCACATGCCTTAGGCACTACACCACCAGAGCTGCTCATGGTCAAACTGGATAGAATTTGACTTAAAATTACATTATTTTCTGTAACCCAGAATCAGAGTTACATCAGTGCACTCAGGAAATAGTCAATGAAAAGGAAAGTAAGGATGTTATAATCTAGTCTTTAATAAGGGAGAAATGTTAAAACCTTAAGGGAAACTAAAAAATTATCCTTCTGCATCAAGAGGATTTTTTTTCCTAACTTTGACCAGTACAAGGGTTTAGAGTTTATCTGTGCCAAGTAACTGGATATTGTAAGAGAACAAACTAGAGTGAAAGCCCTGTAAAATTAGATCTCAAAGTATATATTATTTTAATCAAAGATGATAAGTTTGAAATTGTAAAATATACAAATATAAGGCATAGTTGTTATTTTTTAAAAATGTATTTTTCTCAAAATAATTGATAAATAAAAAATAAGCAAAGGATTGGAATAGACATTTCTCAAAAACAGACAAATGGCCGATGCACATATAAAGAAAATTTCAACATCATTAGTCATTAGGGAAGTGTCAGTCATAGGCACAATGGGGTATCACTTCACACCTACTAGGATGGCCATTACAAAAAATAAAAATACATAAATAAATAAATGTTGACTAAAGGTGGAGAAATTGGAACTTTCACATGTCACTAGGAAAGTAAAGTGGTGTAGCTGCTGTGGAAAACAGTTTGACTGTTTGTCAAAAAGAGTTACCATTGGACCCAGCATTTCCACTAGGATATACCCAAAAGAATTGAAAGCAAGGAATCAAATACCTGCTTGTACACCAATGTTCAATGCCGTGATTTTCATGGTAGTTAAAATTGGAAACGACCCACATGCCCATCAACAGATGACTGGATAAACAAAATGTGGTATATACATACAAGGGAATATTATTATTCAATCATAAAAATGAATGAAGTTCTCATACATGCTACAACATGGATGAACCTTGAAAATGTTATGCTGAATGAAATAAGCCATGCAAAAGAACATACAGTGCATGATTTCACTTATATGAAATACCTAGACGAGGTAGATACTTACAGACAGAAGTAGTTTAGATGTTACCAGGGACTGGAGGGAGGCAGCAATGGGGAGCAAATTGCTCCATAAATGCAGTTTCTGTTTGGAGTGATAAAAACCTTTGGGAAGTAGGTTGTGGTGATAGTTATACAACATTGTGAATGTGCTTCATCCCCCTGAAATGTACACTTTAAAATAGTAAAATAGTAAATTCTACATTATGTATATTTTACCATAGTAATAAATAGATAAACACATAAATATAAATACATATATACATGTGTGTGCATGTATGAGTATGCAAGCAAAGCAGGTGTGTGTACGTCCTTGAAGCCTGGCCTCCTCTGAGATCACTCTAGAAGTGGCAACAAGCTCTCCAAAGGAAAGAGGCCCCTTGTTACACCCACCCCACTTCCCACTAACCATAATAGAGAAGGGTGTTGATTGAAAGGATCCCATTAGGATACATGTTTAGTAAACTACTGAAAGTGGAGGAAGAGTTCACACTTGTTTACAAACCCACCAACCACTGCATGAAAGGAAGATGGGGCATTCTACTTCTGTAAAGATTTACCACCTCACTGGCTGACCTTTGTATTAACTTTTTGTTTTTCCCGTGCTGCTTTCAGGATTCTGTCTTTGTCCTTGGTTTTGGTGAATTTGATGATGATATGTCTCGGTGATTTTCTTTTGGGGTCTGTCCTATTTGGGGATGGTTGGACTTCCTGAATGGATATGTTCTCCTCTTTCATCATATCAGGGAAGTTCTCCTCCAGCAAATCTTGGACGATTTTCTCAGTGGTTTTATTTTTCTCTTCCTGTT